GGGCATGTGTGTAAAGCTTTTGTGTGTGGTTGGTGGTTAGCTGCAACGTGGTATGCCGGGACAAGCACTGTTGGGACGCTCATCTTGTGACATTTTGTTCTGCTCTCTGGTGGGTTTGAGACTTCATTGCTGTCTTCTGGGGGTCGCTGCAGGTGCTGTTGCCACTCTTTGAGGGTCAGCTGCGGGACTATCAGCTGACGGGGGTGATGTGGCTCATCTCCCTATACCAGAATGGCATCAATGGCATTTTGGCAGATGAAATGGGCCTTGGAAAAACGGTAGGCATCCTGTTGACCAAATGCATGCAGCTTCCATTTGTGCACCTTGTCCTGTCAGAACAGACTTCCCAGCGATGAGCTGAACTGGTGGAGCGAAACCAATAGCCTCACTGTCTGGTAGGCGAAGGGTATGTATGTATGCAGGGTAGTTAAGGTTTGTTTCTGCTGTCCACAGATCCAAACGATAGCCTTCCTTTCGCACCTGCGCAACAATGGCGTTATGGGCCCCTTCCTTATTGTGGCCCCCCTCTCCACACTAGCTAACTGGATGTCTGAGTTCGAGTGCTTTGCCCCCTCCATCCCTGCACTCATGTACCATGGATCCAAGCAAGAGCGTGAGCAACTGCGAAAACTGAAGATTCCAGCAGGTAAGGGTCCCCAAGTTCACAGCACCAATAGGAGTCATACTTTGTCAATAGTATAAGTGCTAAGCCACATTATTCCATGGCTTGTCATCGCATTGAGATGCAAGAGCAGTGCTTTCCCATATCCTGACAAACGACAACCTGACGATCATGAACTCATGACATCAATTTGTGGGCGCAGGTGTGCAAGCTATCACCTGGTGATCTTATTCAAGATGTCCAAGGAACTGATATGTTCAAACTTTTGGACCTGTGCCCCTGCCCTTGAGCCTGATCATGGACTTGAGCTGGCTGGTGCTCTACTTTCTTGCTGGCCTCCCATACCCTAGGTACAATGACGTTTGCTGTTGCGGCACCAGCTGAGTGGAGTTTTTATTGCTTGTTTGACTGTGCAGGTTCAAGTATGTCGTTGTGGATGAAGGCCACAGGCTGAAAAACTTCGACTGTCTGCTTGTGCGGCAGCTCAAGATGGTGCACACTGACAGCCGGCTTCTGCTCACAGGTGCACTTGTGGACTGTTGTTTTGTTGTTGTTATTTGATTTTGTAGCTATTGTTCAATCGTTGTTATCGTCTTGATCGTGCAAATCTCTTGATTACACTGTTCATTGGAGGTGAGCCCTGCCTCCAGCAAGGCCACACGTAGCCAAGTCCCACAGCACCCATTGGTGCTGAATAAGAGCGTCATGTTGGGCACTGCCGAGCATCTAGGACTTCAAGAGCCTCCACATAATTGGTCATTGTCGTATTGTTAATGTTCTGCAAGAAGTCTCTTGAGAACAGGGCTTATCCATGCGCGAGGAAAGACAGATCAAATGTTGCCACAACGTCAGCACCAATGATGACCACCATGAAGATCAAACACCGCAGTGGAGATTGCCTGGGCTGTGCAAAACAACATGGCTAAGTGTGCTTTGAGAAATTTGTGTTATGCCATCTTAATGCAGTCATACAGATCGTGAGGATTATGTGGAAAGCAGCTTTTCTTGGCAATTTGCATTGGCAGTAGCTGATCAGATAATTGGGCAAGCTTGTCACTTGATCGCCTTGTGTTTAAGATTGAACCACCCTGGCACCAAACGCTGAGTCCAGTCTGACTGACATCTCTGCGACTGGTGTTGCAGGCACGCCACTGCAGAACAACCTGTCAGAGTTGTGGAGCTTGCTGAACTTTCTCATGCCAGACATGTTCCCATCATTGGACACATTCAAGAACTTGTTCGACTTCCAAAATGTGGGCCAAAAGGGGGCTTGCCAGGTGTGCAAATTAGGGCCTATCCTATCCTTCAATTGGTTCATGCTGCTTGTACAATTTTTGCTGTTGGTGCTGCGCTGGTTAATGAATTGAATCCCAACTGCATGTCTTGAGCACTAAATGTCACAGCTTCTTTATTACTACCAAGAATCTCGCAAATATCACAGGCACATGTGGACTACACTTGACTCAATAGTGTTAATCCACCAATGGATCCCACAAAAATGTGCATTGGCCAGTGTTCCACGATGCGTGTCTCAGCTGCAGTAATTCAGCAAAAGCAGTGCATCGTTTCCATGTGACCACACTGCCCTGGTAGACCTGGCTATGACCCATCAACAACAACAGCAGCAAACTTCATGCGAGTTGTGAGTGTTGTCACAGGCAATAATCGAAGCCGAGAGGGAGCAGAGCATAGTTACCAAGCTGCACAATATTCTGTTGCCGTTCCTGCTGCGTAGAATGAAATCTGATGTGGAGCTGGCACTGCCCCAGAAGACAGAAGTTGTGCTGTATGCCCCCATGACTTCTTACCAGAAAGAACTCAATAAGCAACTGCTGGACGACTCAGTGAGCTTCCAGGTGGGTAGATCATCAACCAGAACTGCTGTTGAAAGCGACACACTCTGTCAAGCCCGGAATTCCTATACTGCACTGGGTTCGTGTTCTCCAGGCCTCTACCTGTTTCACCGGCACTGACGTCCGTACAAATTTATTCCTTGGTGCCGTCTTTTGTTCATTCAGTTGCCCGTATGTAAATGCCTTATGCTTCCTGAAATTGTCTATCGTTCCCAAGCATCAACAGCTCTAACAGTAGAATCAGGCTCCCAACAAACAAAGTAGGCAACTTTGCTGCATGCCTCATCTGTCCCCATGTGCAACACATTTTGCTTGAGGTTAGGCTGTTGCTGTAATATTCCCACAACTGTGCTGCCTGCTTATGCATTTCCACACTGGTATTGCAGATCCAAACAACCTGTTGTTGTTGTCACCTCAAGGCAATATTGTGAAAAGAAACCTTCCTGAGATCACTTTTCTTGCATGGGTTAGCATATCGGAAACATGCAACCTATTGGACCACAAAGTATGCAAGTCCAGCTATCAAAGAATTTCCAAACACTTCCCCTTCCTCCCATTTGCGATGTCAGAGGAATGTGTGCTCACAAGTGTTTTCAAAGCAGGCTGTGTCCAAGAATGGCTCGGAGCGAGAGCTGCGCCTCTCCTCCCTTAACAACGTCCTGATGCAGATGCGCAAGATCTGCAACCACCCAGACCTGATCCTCGGCGAAATCGATGGTTCGATCAAGTTCCCTAGCCCTGAGCAGCTAATCGAGCAGTGTGGCAAGCTGGCACTCATGGACCGCATTCTGAAGAAGCTCCACAGCAAGGGCCACAAAGTTCTCATCTTCTCGCAGGTGGGCAACACAGTGCTTGGATGCAGTGCTGTGTTTCCTGGCTGGGAATTCTGCGATGGTGCTGAAATCATGAACAGAACACCAGACTGGGGGGTTAAAGGTCGGCTAATAGAGGGAGACACTGCACAATGGTTATCTTCCATGCCACATGAGTTGGACTGATGTTGGGACCAGAATGGGCTTGGCTGAAATTGAAGCAGACGAGCGATTTCTCATTTTTTGCTTCCCCGCTGGAGCCTGCATCACGTAAACTCTGATTGCTGGGCGTGCAAAATTGATGCAAATTGTTTTGAACGTACAGGTGCTCAGGGAAGTATGTGCAAATGTGTGGCCTGGATTGATGGTGGCTTCCTGTATTTGTATTTGAGCCAATTCATGCAGCCCTTTGTGATGCCAGGTGCTTTCTGTGTTAGCACATTCATCAGTGATGTGAACGACTCTGCGGTGTTGCGGAATGGCCATTGTTCCCAACTTTGCTTTTTACTTTGGCATTCGAAGTATGTCAGAAGTACAATTTCCCCAATACCCTGTTCCTCAATTTCTTCATCCCCAGGTCTGTGTGGCTTTCTGGTGGCCTCCTTCACCTGTACAGGGTGGAAAAATGCATCACGTCCATTGCCCAGAAGCAGCTGACACCTGTGTGTAGCCCGACCACAAAAATCGAAAACTGCAGCTGCAACAGAGCATACAATGTCAAACTTTCCTGATAAGATTGTGCTATTTGCTGCTTCCCATACCAAAGCATGAGGCAGAAATCCTCAGTGACAGGAACTGAGCACAATCAGAAAAACACACGAGTGTCAAGAAAGGTGCCTTCAGGGGCCGTCAAAATCAACATGTGCACCCATATTTTGAGTGTGGGCGTCGTGGCTTGCAGATGACGAAGATGCTGGACCTTCTGGATAGCTTCTTTGATGAGCAGGGCCACGAAGCCCTTCGCATTGATGGCTCCGTCCCCTGGCAGGAGAGACAGGAGAGGATCAACACTTTCAACACGGATCCTGACAAGTGGCTGTTTCTGTTAAGCACCAGGGCTGGAGGCCTGGGTATCAACCTGACTGCTGCGGACACTGTCATCATCTATGACAGCGACTGGAACCCTCAGCAGGACTTGCAGGTGGGCCAGAGATCTGCACCAGCTGTGCTTCTGGGAACATAACAAAACACTGTCTGCACAGTTATTGGCTTATTTTGATTGTTGTCCTCATGGGGGCTTGTTCTTGAAGTGGTGGGCAGGTGTGCATCAATTTGATGCCAGCAGCCGCGATTGAACTTGAAGCCAACAGCACTGCCACACAGGGTGTGCTACTTTTGCTCCAGTCTCCACTAGCATTAATATGGTGTTGAGCAGGAGGACCTCATATGTGAGGCCTGCTGGGGATGTCTTATCCTCAGCCGTTGGGTATACCAGCATGTGCAAGAAATGATTTGGGCCTCAGGTGCAGGTAAACCTGTGCAGACACGGGTTGACGTGGGGAGGTCCCTTTGAGGCGTTGGTAGATGCTGAGGAACTGTGCCAATGTGTTTGTTACGTGTCAAGGTTGTGCAACGTGCTGCGAAGAATGCAGTCTGGGTACATTGCTGGTACATTTCACACCATTGCATCGCTATGGAAAACACTGTACACTGGTGCAGTGCATTTGAATTTGCGCATCCCACATTGCAAATGGGCTTATGAAATGGAGTTGAATGTATACTTCTGCCACTACTATTTGCCCGTCCTCACCTCGCTGCAAGGAACACAGGAAGATTTGGATGGGCAGAAAGGCCAAGTACAATAAAGAAAGAAGGGATGAAATCGGAGCTGCGAAGAGTCGCAGCTGTGAAAAGTCCTTGATGTGGGGAGTGAAGAATTCCTGCACAAGGGGCGTCACCCTGATTGGCTGCCACTCAATCCACTGTTGCCACTCCCTCTGCGTGCAGGCCATGGACCGCTGCCATCGCATTGGTCAGTCGAAGCCCGTGCTCGTGCTGCGACTGGCTACCAGCCACTCGGTGGAAGGGAAAATGCTGCGTAGGGCGTCAAACAAGATGGCGCTGACACGGCTGGTCATCAAGAAGGGGGCATTCAGGGGTGACAAGGAAGTAAGCATCAAGAGTTACTTTTGTAAACACATACTGAATGATCTTCTTTTTTATTTTGATTTGAAGGAATTGAAGTTTACAGTGGTCATATTGGCTGCTGTCGATTCGCTTTTTGATTAAAAGGTTCTAAATGAGTGTATTTATTGTTGATGATCAATAAGAATTGAGTGAGGAATTGACCAGGGAAAAGAATTAGGAAGCAATGCAAGCAACCACTACAGCAACAGCGGGAAGACACACAGTTAGGATGCACCATGTGTCATTTCATGCAACACAATGCAGGACGCGCAAACGAATACGCGTGAAGACATGGCTGCAGGGCGTGTGCTAGTATGGTACTTGGCTCCCATTTGGGTCCTGCAACACTGCTGATGATTGTGCATGCAACTGCAACTTGCAGAATCGTGCTCAGTCTAGATGGCATTTCCCAGAGCACTTCTGCCCTGGCAGCAGAGCGTGCAGATTTGCTATTAGCATCCTCCATCCTGTTGCTAGAAGTATTATGTGATGTTTGTTTTCGTATGAGCAGCATATGCTGCTGCATGGCACAGCGATGCTGCTGGAGACAGATAAGGGCCCATAAGCTTGGAAGACTGAGGTATCTTGCTTGAGGATTCACGACAGTGCTTGTGGCCGCCAAGGGGCGCACACACTTCCTTTAGTCCCTGCTGTCGGACACCAGACCGCTAGGGGGCAAACACATGGTCTTTGGAACACAATTCTGAGGTTGCAGCACTGCCCGGTGCCCCTCAGCAACTTGCGCAGCGAACGTTTTGCTACTTTGACAAACAGGATCAAAATGCAGCTATCCTTCCCCAGACAGACACGTATTCCATCTCCTTTTCCTCGTCTGCATGTGCTTCCTTCTGAATTATCTCTTTGAAGGGTAAATTCATTTTCTTTTTCCCATTTTCCCTTACTTTCTCCCCTTTTCACTTTACTGGTCGCTTACATTTTCCCTCACTTCTCCTATACTTTTCCAATTTTTTGCTCGTCTTTTACCCGGCGTGTCTTGCTGATACGCTCCTCGCTGTGGTCCAGGCCAAGAGCGCGCGCTCCTCCCTGGCCTCGGACGAGCTCCTGCAGCTCTTGAAGGCCGACATCTCGCTCGACGACGTGCCCCAGAGCGGTGAGGTGTCCGATGACATCATGGACCAGCTTCTGGACAGGACCGATGATGTCACCCATGCCCGCATCCCCGCGGCGGGCGTCGGCTACGAAATCGTCCAACAGCAGGGGTGCACGGACGTGCTGTCGACGGTGACTCGCGACGAACCGTACAAGCAGGTGGACGAACCGTATGAGCATGTCGTTCAGGCGACTCCCCCTCGCAAGCGGTGGAGGAGTCCAAGACGCAGGGTCCTTTCACCTCGCAGAGATAATGGCGTGGGTGACATCGGAAATGGGCAGAGCGTCAGCCCGGGGAGGATGGGCACCCGCAGTCAGGGGTTCGGGCGCCGTGGACTTGGGTCGGGGGCATTAGTGGGATCCTCGTCCTGCAGAGTTCGGTAGAGTTTGCTTTTGGCTGGGTAGTTGGTAGACGTTCACCCCGATAGGTCTGCCATTTTTTGCTGACAGGATCTGCTGCATTCAGTGTTTCACCTGGCAGTCAATTCATTGGACTCTGGGGGCGATTGGGGTATTGGCATTGCAGATTTATTGGCGGATGGACCTGCAGGCGGCCCCTCTAGGCGTTGGGAACAGGGATACGTGCACTTCACTGGGGCATCTGTGTTGTTGACACCTCCAGATTGTACCGCAGCTTTGTACCCACGACTGCAGTGATGGGTACGGTGTTGGGGCCCCCGGAGCATTTGCAGGCTCCTCAGTTCAATGCTGCTGGAAGATTGTCCGCCGTACAGGCCCATGCATGTCGCAGTGATGATAGCGTTCATCCCAAAGACAGAATTCAACCTTGTTACATTCGCCGGTCGTCACGTTGTTGCTTCATTCGACGAGTGACACAACGGCCCACATGGTGACTGACTGGGTGGCACATCACGACAGACCGCAAACAAGCTAAAAGAACACACGCTGAAAGACTGGAGTGGGAGAACACGATGCGCAGACCCATAAATAGAACACCTGACGCCTCTGGACGGGGCTGAGTTCATGAAAGCATGGCGAGGTTCCGACGTTTTCTGAAGCGAAACAGTTCATAAAATGCGCAAATTTCGTCCATCAACAGTTTTATATCCTCACACGGTCAACGTCCGCCAGTGCACGGGGAAAGACGCCTAATGAAACGGCGTCGACAGAGTCAAACAAAGCCACAAGAAATACAAAGAAGGCATGCGTTTCGGCACAAGCTGCGCTCCAACACAATCGAATCGAAAAGTCAAAATGTCACGACTTCACTCTACATGTGAGCATATGTACACAACCAAAATCGCATCTGCAACCAAAATGTGCGATGTGTCGTCCTGCAGGGTCCAATTCTCACTCCCAAAAAGCATACAGCCCATGTGCAGCCGTGGATGTGAAATCTGGCTGAAGAAGCAAGTCTTAGGCAACAATGGAAGTCACTCGCACAGCCGTCGTGAGCAAAAAGGCCTTCCCCAGGCCCTCCCTTCAACAGAAACGCACGCAATACGACAATGCATGCGCCTGCTGCAAAAATGCCGATCGTGGCGATTCAAAACTGCTCCAGGAGCTCTCTTCCTGGAATCCATTTGAATTTGTAGCCTGCCCAGACAAGGGAATGCAGATTACTCGCCCACCACGAGCTCCCTGTGTCGCGACAAGCCAACGCGCATGACAACGCAGAAAAGATGCTCAACATATAACCTGTTTTGAACAGGACATATTTGTTGTTACACAGGAGGAGCATGGACACCATACACTCTGAGCGAGCACTGCGACTACAAGCCGCCACGGTGCATCATCAGCGTCGACCTTGTCAAAACTTGCCAGTGGGTGGTTCCAGAATCAACAAGTGCTGATCAAGATGGGATACAGACGACTGTCAACATGTGTCTCAGTGCACCCGTAACCGCCTGTCAAATCGGCCCCATGTGCAGAACAGCTTTTCAGGCAAAATGGGTGCAACGGCATGTCGCGCACTCAGCACTAATTCCTGCGCCCACTCTGAAAGGGTGTGGGAAGACAACATGGCGACGCCAGCATATTCCAGTACATGCCACACACTACACTCCAGCACATTCTCAGCACACATAATGTCAAATTGGCGCCAATGTGGGGAGGATTCCAGACTCACCCCACTATTGAATGTTTCAGTTACAGTGTAATTCAGGTATTGCAAGAAGAGGCCCAATACTGCCTTCGCCACGTTCCATGGACGCCAGCCCGTCTTTTTTTGCGTTTCAAGAGTAAAAACGCAGTGCATTTGGAATGGGATCTGTCCCTGGAGCAGTAGGACTGCGAAGGTGATGATCGACCATCCTGTGGAGCTTTTGCCGCCAGAATCTTGGGAGGAGCCAACGATGGCCTCCGTCAATGGAATGGACGGTGATGTGGTGTGTGTCGCCAGAACACAGATGTGATGCTGACACGGGGGGGTAAATGATTGCAAGTGCAATGCATGTAAACGAAAGAATTGTTGGTGAGGGGTGGGCAGGTGAGATGATGAAAGGAAATATCTGCTTGGAAGTATGCTGGAATCGTTGCAGTGTCTTCCCCAGACACATGTGGAAATTGCTCTGAGCTAACAATGGTGCAGCAGCCAGAGCATAAGGGTCCTCCTTCTAACCTCTCTGATTCTTCGTATTCAGCAATGCCGTTCCTCAATATCCTCACATTCTTGAAGCCATTGGCCACGAGCTCATGTGCAGCGATCAAGGACCTATCAAAGACGGCACCCTTTATCAGGGCAACGTGTGAATGCTTATGAACTTTGCCAATCCTGAAGGCAGCAAACTGGCCTTGTACTAGCACCCATTCAGGCAAGGATGCTGCAAGCCCACTGCTCAGCACTGCAGGCAGTTGTACATATGCCCAGTAGTTTTGACACCCTTTGTTTATTCCACCAATAAAGCAAGCTGTGCGATGCCAGCATACCATGTCAGCACATGCTATTTGGTCATCCTTCAGTGCAAGCAACAAACACAATAGGAAGCAACAATTAGCACAGTTGACAAATTGTCAACTGCAAAGATAGCTGAACATCGCCTTGACTGTGGAAGAATTTATTCCCCCGATAGCAGCACTGCCCATGCGAATTTACTGTGTTGTGCATGCTGGCAATACGCATAACAAGAGCTCCATCTCGCAGATGTTCAGGATGCATCTTTTTTCCAAAAGAAAGTTACAACGACTACGTGAAAATACATCAATTGATCAGATCCCAATGTGCCTATCCAGGTCCCGACGCTGCTGATCTCTCAGGAGTCAGGTGACGCAGCAATTGCATGATCGCTGATGCAAGAATTCGCCATGCATTTTCGACTGGAGGGTGGATTCGGGCACGATTTTGAGAGCACTCCCACCTGGTTGCAAATCCTGCAAAATCCCCCGGATTTTCTGGAGAGGTGAACCCAACACCACACACCAGTGTGATGCCCTTCTCAGGATCACACATGTCAGCACACACTGCAACATGCACAACCGCGAGACTCCTGTCAGCTTATCATCGACTGCACTATTCCCTGATTTCTTGCTGTACTCTTTACTTGTGTGCGATTTTTGTGAAATGGGGACCACCGAACTGTGTTCGAATTGATGGATTGAATGTTTGGTGAGATTCTTTGTCAACCACCATGGATTCAATGTACACTGCTAGAGATACTAGTAGTGTGATACAATCTGATTACACAGTCTCAGCAGAGGGGGATCTCCCATGACCATTGTGACACCACACTGTGCGTAAATTGCCTAGACATGCAGGTGCTGGTTAGCATTGACTGACCTGGCACTGTTAACCACATTTCTGATTGCAGATTGAGAAGTCTGAGTGCAGCCAAGCAGGCGATTCGTCTCATACTGGCATGTGCACATTTTTAAGGTTAAGCAATGGTTTGAATCGCAATGCACTTTGCTACCATGAAGTTCGTGGAGTGATGCAACTGTGATGTTCTTGACAACAGCGATGAAAATGGAGTGAAAGAAAAACTGTGACTTATTGCAATCGCAGTCTTCTTCCCTGCCTTGCAAGGCCCCAGTCCCATTCGTACAAACCCCACAACTGTGAGTTGAATTGAACAAACAATCCTGAACTGACACTGTGAACAGAGCTATGGCTGTCACAGTCTCGTAGGGTAGCGCTAGGGCAGACCCTTAACATGCTGCGGCCAATGTAATCAGAAAGATTGACCTCTCCAACAATCAACACACATTCTAGAGCAACTGCACATAGCATCCTGGCCTTGAACAATGCATGCAACAACCGCAATGATTGCTATATGGAGATGGTAGTCTGGCAGGTGAAGAAACAAAGTCAAGGGAAAAGAGAGACAATGCTGTTGGGGGGTGTTACCATTCAGGAAGTCTTCTTGCATCTCAGTACCATCAATCTTGCCAAACATGAGGAAACTGAGCCTCTTCCCTATCTTGAAAGGGGACCTGCCCAGTGACACAATATGTAAAGTGTAAGACAGCGCTGCGGCTATTGCACAGCACATTGGGATGCAAAGATGGCATCAGCTGCCTGATTGGTCGTATAATTTTCGACACCACACTTTGCACTCGATAATATGATAGCACTGCCCGTTGCACAGGACACTGGCATTGCTGGACAATCAATTCCAGCATGAATATGAATAGGATTGCAAACACGAATTCCTTTTCCAATACTAGCAATTCATAGCTGGTCACCCTGCAGCTTGAACTCACCAGGTCGTCTCCACAACCTTGCACAGATGTGAACATTTGAAGCACAGTTGTGAATTACAGAGGGCATTTTTGCACTCAGCGTGGAAGAACGTAGTGGTCAGTCAGGCTTGTTCGCATCAAGACATATCATATATTCATCCTGAACCGTATAATCCACCTCGAATTGCAATGGCCAAAGTGCAGCCCTGCAAAACACCACCAGAATGGCACCATACACAGCTCTTAAACAAGGTATCAAACTTACCACCCCTCAATGAGGTCATACAAGGGAATGTTCAGAGACTCTGGGATGTGGCCCTGTAGAAAAGGAAACATGTTGAACATCAGTTTTGAAGTGAACATGAAGTTTTGAAGGAAACGTGCAGAACATCAGTTCTGATCAACATCACTCTCATTTGGTCTTGGCAAAAGGGCTGCAGATGTTACAGCAAGGTTAGACTGGTGTCCAAGTTGCAGGCAACCAGAAAAGAAGCAGCGAGATGGACCTGTCCAAAGTGCTGCTTGAAGACTGCAGCCAACAATCATGTGCGTGGGCACTGCTTCATAGTCGATGAAACTAATTTCAAGTGCTTTGCAGATTTGCTACGACCTGTGCTCCACAGGCACAAGGCCAGCAGCACATGGGCAGGAAATCGTGTACCTGTAAAGCGCTGCATCACCACCTGTAGTGCCAACCTTCTCTTTTTTGAGACTTCGTGACCATTTCAACACCAGACACCTTGTGAGCTTTACATCGCCATTCGCTTTCATGCACTATGGCACAAGGCCCACAATTCTTCAGTCAGGACGGAGGTGGCACCTGGACTTTATTGTGATTCATATTCTGGTACAAAAAGCACTCCATAAAGCAGCACAATGAACAAAAGGCAATGCAATGAACTACTTTTATTGCATGACAAAGCTCTGTGGCAGATGGAATTTGCCCCCAGCAGGTGTTGTGTACAGTGCTGCAAACTGAAACAACTTGATACACAAGCAATGTTGCATGGGCTGACCTTCTCATAGCTATTCTTGGGCCTGACATCGACGACGGGAATGCCATCCTGCTGTCTTCTCAGCAGTTGGTGACAGGACACAGGTGCCACCTGTAAGCCAACACACGCACATATGATGCAAAGTGTGTCAAGCAATGTGCACCAATGTGTTCCAGCCCTTTCCAACAGAACAGCCAGATTTACAAAAGGGAATGACTCTGCAGAAACCTGGACACTGTCTGTGCATAAGCCGGCCAGCCAAAGCACCCAGAAATGCACAGCTTTTCCTCACAAATACGAGAAAACATGTCAATTATGCTGGTAGGCAGGCTGTGTATTGTTTGTCTTGGAAGGTGTTGCCTTGAGATGATGGCTGGCAAACTTCAGCTGCCTGATCATCTGAGTTACATAAAGACAAGGGCTGTGACTGGGCACCTCTTCTTCTTGTCGTTTGAAGGGATGCATTCCAATCACTCTTGAGACAGCACAGCGCAGTTGTCAAAAGCACCTGAAATTGTGAAGTGGCAGTGTGTTGTCAAGCAGTAGCAAATGCAAGCGGGATGGAATAAACTGGGATCTATGTAGGAACCACTGTCTGTATTGCTTTACTGCTTAGCTGACAATGCCTTTGCTTAGAAGCTGGAGCGCATGCAGACCTATTCTAAACAATGGAGGATAGCATGGCCTGCTGAATATGAAGAGGAGCGGTGCCATCTCTTTGGACGGCAGTCAGAGGGTTATTTGGCTCTGCTGCAAAGAGGAACAAGGGTGGGCATTATACTACAGAAAACAGGAAATTTACACACTGATGGAACACAATGATGTACACAGGTGGGCAAAACACAGCAGCACATTGCCTGAAAGTCTGCTATGCAGCTAGCTGCAGGCACATTACTTCTATGCATAGTCACCAGTGCTCTAACATGAGCCATGGCCGCCAGGCTGTTGGAAGATGACCACAGCCAATTGTGTCATATGCTAGTGATGCGGTAAGAGCCATAATTCTTAGATCCTTGATTTCTGTGGGTGTGTGCTCCTCTTGGTATTACTGCAAGGCACTAAAGCTGTCTTGGAAGATTCCTTCCTGAATACACAAACCCTTGGCTTTCACCACGTGAGGCTGGCCGGTTTACTGATGCACCTTGCTTTCCATCCATGTCTGTGAGAACAAAGAGAAGGGGGAGAGAAAGAGGGGTGGAAATAGCCTGGAGCACCTATCCCTGTATCAAGTTGACGAAAAATGCCATTCATGCCATGTGTGGCTGGTGAAGGGTGACGCTGAAACCACACCAGACTCTAAGCATTTAAGAATACAAAATGTTATCACGCAGAAGCCTATATCGATTGCTCACACCAGCTCCCCTCAACCTCTCCCACATGACCGCAACAGCTCTTGGGGCAGCCGGAGTTTCGCATAGTGCTGACAATTGAAGAGAGCCGCCATTGGAGTCAGCTGCCGTGTGGACGTCTCGTGCCCTGCCAAAATTAATGCCACACATCACACAGCAAAAGACCGCTTTACAATGATGTGCATTGCTGCTTCTTGTAAGGATTAACTTTTTCAGGAATCATGCACTCAATTTTTTATCCAGATGCCCATGGGAAACATGCCTACCCCCTGCCAGAGGCCAGTGGCAACAGATCTGGACTGCTCCTGCAATTTTTGGCACCTTGCAATTCCTTTTGTGAACACTGTCCGTACCCTTGCTGCAGGGGGTGTCATAGTGCGAGAGGTCATCGATTTCTGCTCTCCAGTTTGCACATTTCAGACAATTTGCAAAAGTGCAGTGTACAAGCAGAGCAACAAGGACAAGCAAGGAGCGGCCCGAATTTTGCGATTCCAGGAGCATTGGCAAAGCCACCCCGTTGGAGCTTGCACACCCACTCGCACTGTATTCGTCAGAATGTGGATAAGCACTGCGGCACCTCTTTTACAGAGTGGGAAAAATGCATTTGCTCCGTCTTCCGATAGCAGACAACAATCAACAAAAAGCTGCCTCTGCAGTGCCCTGAAACACTTGGTTGTTAGGATTTTCGTTGAGTCTGTTGCACAGGAAGTTAGTTGCGTGCCCATCAGTGAGCCAAACCATGCTTCATCACAATACATGCGGCTTGGCATGCAAGGAGCAGACGAACATTTGGAACCCTGCTCTGGTGCGGCTTTACCCCCGTCACTGTCTGCAGCGCGCAAGCGATGTGTTTTTTCGCGTTCGATCAAAGTCAGTGGGAAAAAATTCAGCAAATCAGCACAGTGGATCTCGCGTTTCTCCCCAACCCACACACCCACCCACCCCCCACACGCGCATTCGTCGCGATTGTCCTTTGGGGCGCTCCAGGCCGACCGCCAAGTCCAACCGTCGCCGACGCGTCTCGCAATCAAGCCCAAGACTACCAACCCTTAACAGATAATCACACCGGAGGCCCTTAAGGTCAAGGGCACCTGGACATGGATCTGCGGTACCTTCTCAAGGGATGCGCAGCTGTGCGCGCCGCCGGGCTGGGCGCCAGCGCATGGGGCGGCGGGCCGCAGCAGCGGCGGCCGGTGGCCCCGGGCGCCCCCGCGACCGGCGGTCTGTTCGCCGCGATCATGGAGGAGACTGGGGTGGGAGCGGGCCCGAACGATTTTGTGGATCTCGTGGCTGACCCGAATCTCCTTCCAAAGCATGGATGCGTTCCCCACAGGAATGTTAGGTTTTTTCGAACATTCATGCTTTCTCATCTCCTGATTGCGTGGTGAATTTTTAAGTACCCCTGATGTTTCGCCTATTTTGTTGGTAACTTGCACATTCTGCTGGGACATGATGGATTGAATCTGCCAGGACTTAGTGCAAAAGTTGTGGGATGTTCTGATCATGGAATGACCATTGAACGACCGACTACCTTGTTCCGTTGACCCTATAAACAGGCGACCATCGTCGATGACTATCCAAATTGCATCCCTTTAAGCCCTCTAAGTTGTTGGAGTAATCCTTGACTTTGGCAGGCTCCCTCCATGCTCCGAAACAATGAGATAGCGCTAAGGAGGACAACTCCCATTACTCCCACACCGCTTCCGGGGATTGGATCATTAAGACCGGGAGTGGATCATCAAGGCCAGGAGTGGATCGTCAAGGCCAGGAGTGGATCGTCAAGGCTGGGGATCGGATCGCCAAGGGCGGGGATCGGATCGTTAAGGCCAGGAATGGATCGTTGATGCCGGGCGCGGATCGTTAAGGCCGGGTGAGGAACATTAAGTTGGGACAATTGCACTGATGCATTGGGACGCCTGAATGATGGATTGACTACTGCGTTGCTGTGCCGGGAGTGACTTGGGCCAGGTCGGGAGTTGTTGCGACCTGTCAGATTGTGAACGAGTGGATAGAGGGGCAACTTCAGACTATCCGGGAGTAATCACTTCTATTTGGGAGTTATCAAGTTGGTGCGTCAGGGAGTCGGAAGTATTGTGGTGCAGGGATTGTGGTGCAGATTGGCTGTTAGCGATTGGTACGCTAGGGTATAGAAGGTTCTTTTGTATTGCTTCTAGGAGTAACAACTCCCAAGGGGATGCGGTATCTAGGAGTAGTGTTGTATATAAGACAAACCTTCCGTGTAAGGCGGCAACAAACATGGGCCCACCCTAAGGGTGGATATGGGATACGGCAAGGGAAACGGGGATGGAATCGCAGTTAGAAGCAGAAACACTCAAGTCAACGTTGAATGAGGGACTCCATGCAACTTTCCCACAGTGGCCAAGTAGAATTGGGCAGTGTTAGCAGCTATGCTAATCAGCTTGACAGGCGCCAGATGCACCATTTTTGTGGCCCGATCCACCACTGTGAGTATCCCATTGTTCCTAGCCTCTGACTTTGGTAGACTTATGATGAAATCCAAGCTGACATCAGCCCACTTCTGTTCTGGGAGTTTTAATGGTTGCAACAATTCAGCGGGGATATGATAGATAGCCTTCTCTTGCTGGTAGTCTGGGCACTAGAGGTGGCCATTCAAGATGCCATCCGCTTCGTTAAATCCGGTTCGTTAATTTTTATCAGCTGTTCGTTAAATTCCGTTGCAAAAAAAGGGAGAAAAATTCAGAAAAAACGAAAAAAAATCCAAAAAAATCGAAAAAAAACCCAAAAAATCACAACAACTGCGGCTAGTTAAAAATCTAGTATGCATATGTTGAAATAAAATACAAACATGCTCTCTAATAGCGAATTCCATAAACTATAAGTATGAAAAAAACCCAAAAATCCCCAAAAAATCCAAAAATCCGTTAATTTTTGGTTAATTTTTGTCTTTTTCCGTTATTTTCCGTTAATTAACGGATTAATTAACGGAATTAACCTCTGTCCGTTATTAACGGATCCGGGTGGCCACCTCTACTGGGCA